CCAGTGCTTTAATGTTCACGTTCAGGGAACGAAACGTGAACTTTTGCAGACCTACTAGTGCTCAAGACTAACAGCGAAAGAGGAATAAAATGTTCTACGAAATACTTCACCTGAACAAAGTACAAGAGTATTCGCAAAAAATCTTCTGGATGGCATTTTCTCCCAGAAGAGGCTGGGAAATTCTTTTGTCATCATTAGATAAATCTAAATCTGGACTTCGTTTATGCTTAATTGTAAGTTTTCAGTAGAAATCTTCCATATGTGAGAAAAACACTTTGGGACGAGATCCATAATCTCAGACTGAAAATCATCCGTCTAATTACTTAGCCTACTTCATTTAAATATGTCTTAACCAGATGAATACATGCGATACAAATCTGTACGTTTATTTACAGGAGAACATCTAATGATTATCTACCCGATGTGGAATTTCAACCAATGTCAACAATAAGAATTGTTTCGTTATCGGAACAAGCGACTAAGATGAATGAGTTTCTCAATATAATGTATTTGTATATAGCACGTGTTGCGTTTACTGTTTGTTACTGTTGATTATTGAGATGTAAGAACAGTAAGTTGTCGAAACCGTTGAGAACAGTCAAAGCACTCGCGTTCTTATGAACCTGAATAAAGAGAGAATTTGACTTTGTCTGAATGGGTTTACAGGTCAGCTGGTTTACCTTTCTGACCTAAACGGAAGATGATGGTTGGATAAAAGTCATGAAGTCATGTAAAAATCGTTTAAAAGTCGAATTTTCTGCAGCGTATATAATAAATATTCTGACTTCGATGAAACAATGGCAAGCTACAAATGATGATCTGGTCTGTTGTGTGTCTGATAGTCCTAAAATATGCACCACACATCGGTAACATTGTTTCTCTTTTCAGCAAACAAAAAAATAATGAAAAGAAAAGTATTCATAAACTGCTTTTGTTGGTTTTTATTCTCCATACTTTTTTATTTGTTCATGCATTACACGATCGACCGGAAGAGAACGGAAATGGGTCGATGTTGATGAAACAGCGTATTGAACATCATTATTGACATGGCCATCTTCCACTAACTGTTTAGTTACTGATTTCATATTTTGAATATTCAAGTACACGATTAGCAATTTAAGAATAAAAATCAATAGTTTCACGCGAAAACTCCCATTTTGTTGGTTTTACCGATGTTTTGCACGAATCCTCGTAATCACTTAATTTAACATTATATTTTCTCGATTTAACTTCAAGTCGATCACATCTTTGTTAGTTGAGTGGTATTGCAAAATTCATTATACTTTTATGATGACGGTTTTTAGAATCAATTTGCAAATCATTCCTGATCAAAATTCCGTAGTAGATTATATTTGTTAATGCTAGTTCAACCAAATGACCACTATTATGGAATGGTGAATTAGAAAAAGAATAAAATTTTTGAACATAATCGATAATGTGTAATTCAAAATATTTACTTTTTTGCTTGCAACGAGTCCTACATTGTTGATATGAGAGTATCAACCATGAAAAAATGAAATGGAAATAAACAACCTGTTCCTACTAATGTTGATGGCATATTTGAAGATGATTGCACCGTTATTTGATAATTGATTTGGAACTATTGATTTTATTGATGTATACTGCTCTTTTGGAGATTTTGGTAAAGTAAATGATATAACAGCAGTATTATTAAGATGATCATAATAGTTACAGGCTAGAATACAAGCCGGTTTCTTAACAAATAACATTGGCATTCTAGGTTAATACGGACTTCTAGCAGCAGAAGTTAATATTAGATTCACTATCGTTATTTTCCTTCGCATCATTGATTCGTTAATTTTTCTTGATGTTAGATCAGACACCATACCATCTTCACATTCTTTCAGTACGTCCATGGCATAATTGAATATTTGAAATAAGATGTATAAACGAGAGATGATAGTAACTGCTTTGACATTAACACCGATTATCTGATCTTGCAATTCTTTTCCATCTGGCTAACCATTGGCACGTGTAATTGTAACATTTGTATTGCCAGTTGATCGAGTTTTATCTTTAATACTAAAAATAACAAAAATCAAATGGTATTTATGTATCATTACATGCGTATGCAGATTTTGTACTTACCCATCAAATATTTTCATGATTAGTGCAGCTTCAGCATAATATTTTACATTTCCACTATCAAACACTTCATAACTGTGTAATACATTATCTGCTTCACTATGTATCAATATATTATTTTACGATGAATGTTTTCTAAGCTCTAATAAAGATAAATCTGATATGATAGAGGATGCTTCTTGCTTTTCTTCTCCGATCCGATTTCAAATAAACATCGGGGAACATTTTTTCAACTTTTACAATTGCTTCTTTAAGCACACGAATACCATCAATGACAAAATGATTGCTAATCGTCGTTGCGTTCTCTTAGCTTCTTGTGTTTGTTTGATTGTTGCACGACAGTGTAGTGTGATAGCTCGATCCGTAATGTTTTCACATGAAATATTTACTTTTATTTATTTTGTGTTATTTTCATCTTTTTATTTGGTTTGAAGGCACTAATTGTTACGTGAGTACAGCGAACCGTATTATCCTACCCGTAGGATCTTGATGGGACCTTCTTTACACTAGTTGATGATATACCAGCGATTATCTTCAATTAATGAATACATTTTGCATTCAGTCCTCAAACCAAAAAGAAGATGAAAATAACACAAAATAAATAAAAGTAAATGTATCACGTGAAAGCGTTACGGACCGAGCTATATAGTGTCATGCAACAATCAAACAAACACAAGAAGCTAAGAGAGTGCAAAAACGATTCGCAATAACTTTGTCGTTGATGTAATTTGATTTACCAGAACCTCCAGTTAAATGATACACTGA